ATAGTAAATACAAAAGAAATATACAAAGTAGATAAAGTTAGTTGATACTGATAGCGCATTTATAGGCAAGCAAAATATAGATAGCAGCCCATGAAATTGTGACAGATGGAAAGCAAAATTAAATGGTGGTGAGAGAAGAGAGCAGATAAAGTGGGAAGCAGATGAAGGCATGACAGGTCGAGTCACGGCCACCAAAACAGCAACAGGAGAAGGATGGCTAGAAACAGTGCTGTGGGATAGAAGAATGCTAATGATCATAATTAAATGACTAACTTAACCCCAGCAGTAAGATTTCCCTCAAATTTCACTGACAAAACATTTGGTATAAACAGCATCTTGCTTGTTTCAAGCAATGTGCTTCCTCCATCACATAATTCAACAGCACAATGTAAATACTGAGCTTGTGTAAATATTTAATATGTAATATTTAATGGATGGAGGTATGCATAGTGACAGGCTTCTCTACTCTCTGAGTTGAAGTGTAAGACTGTAAGAGCAGGATGGTGGGTATCAGAGCCCAGGAGTATCACCACAACACTGATCCCCCTCCTCCTGTGAGATTCACAAGTGACACAAAGCTGAGTGCAGCAGATGATATGCTGTCAGGAAGAGAGAAACGAAGACCGAGAAACACTGAAAGACATGTTAAATGGCACTCAGCGGAGAGCTGAGTTAAAAATGAGAATATTTTTACCTGTCCTACTGTAAGAGAGAGGAATCAATGCACAGATCTCTGCAAATCTCTCTCTCTCTTTATTTTTTTTTACATTTTTTGATTTATTTTTTGGTCACAAAAATGTTAAATGTTCTCAGGGTTATTATTAAGTAAAAAAAATTAATTTGTTAATTAAAATAAAGCTGAAGCTAATGCATCTAAAATAAAACAAAAATATTATATGAAAAACATAAACTAGATAAATACTATCATTTCTAACTGGAAATACATAAACTAAAACTAAAATAAAAATAAATTAAAAGCAAATAATAATATTAAATTTTAAAAACTAATAAAAATGACAAAAACACAACAAAATGTACTAAAAATTAAACCATATATGTGACCCTGGACCACAAAACGAGTCTTAAGTCGCTGGGGTATATTTGTAGCAATAGCCAAAAATACATTGTATGGGTCAAAATTATTGATTTTTCTTTTATGCCAAAAATCATTAGGATATTAAGTAAAGTTCATGTTCCATTAAGATATTTTGTAAATTTCCCACCGTAAATATATCAAAATTTCATTTTTGATTAGTAATATGCATTGCTAAAAACTTCATTTGTACAACTTTAAAGGCGATTTTCTCAATATTTTGACTTTTTTGCACCCTCAGATTCCAGATTTTCAAATAGTTGTATCTCAGCCAAATATTGTCCTATCCTAACAAACCATACATCAATGGAAAGATTATTTATTCAGCTTAAAACACAGCGGCCTAGCGTGAGGGGAAGCCCCGGCTTAGCGTGCGCTGAGGCCGGTATAGAGTGAGCTGAGGCGGGCTGGATTCCGCTTCGTCCACGGTGAAAGCCGTTCCGGCGATCCACAGCGCAAAGTTGATGTATTGTCTCAGCGACCAGCACGGATCAGCTCTAGGCATGACGAAGTGGATATCGTCCTCTTTTGGAAGGCCAAACCAAGTAGTTTCGCTTTCACAACGAAACACAGCGTCTCCACGGCATGGCGACGGCGGCGGCAACAATACTACAGCGAGAATAAAAGTTACTCCTTCTTTCTTTGTGTGAACATTTGGGCGGTGTTATGCAAATCTTCGCACATCGTGACGTAGACATGTGGGGGCGTGTTAGAACGAGCCGTTTTAGGTAGACGTGGTTGACTCTTAACTTTTATAAAGAATTTCTCTTTGGATTTGAGACTTTAGTCTTTGCAACTTTACAGATCTTCTTTATGCACCAAGAGCTTGTAACACTCCAAAGAGAAAGGAAAGATTGAAATTGCATCATATGACCTCTTTAAATATTATATTATACATTAATTAATGTATTAAAATATGACTATTTATAACCAGATGAGTGTGATTAAACATTGTTATCCACACACCTGGCTTGACTATTATCTTGTTATTAATTATTATTATATATTATATTAACATTTAATCAAATATGTAGGCCTATGATTAAATAGCTTAATGAGACTATAACTAATAGCACTATTTTAAAAAGTGCATACCACATTATCAATTGTGTATATGCATAATAAACGCATATGCAATTGTCTATATGCATAATAAATGAAACCACAAGCAAATTAACAAATGTAACTGATGCTGGTAGGATGATCCATAAACAGAAACTCTATGTGAGTAAGACATTTCTCTAGGCAATCTGGTGCCCTCAACAGTGGGAATTCAGCCAAAATGTCACAAAGCTCTGTTTTGCATAGTTGTGTGTTATGTCAGGGAAGGCTGGGGGATAATTGGACTCCCTGGGCCGAGCCGTGAGCTCTGCGTGTCCAAATGCTCATCGCGCGCTGACATCTTCCAATTTCACAGCTGGTACTTTTGGTGAATATTACATGCTCTTGTTTGAATGTGTGTGTGGAGAGGTGAGAGGTGGGCTGTGCTCTGAGAAAAGAAAGTTGTGGTGATGTGTGTGTATCCAGAAATATGTGTGTAGAAACATAAACAAGCATGTGTGTGTGTGTTTGGGCATTTTGTGAGAATGCATAAGGCTGGAGGGGTAACTCAAAAAAAAAAACCCATTTAAGTCTACTGTGGGTTTTCACAGTGTGAGCCTTGAATGTGAAATAAAATCCATTTCTTTTAAAGGGGTCATATGATGCAATTTCAATTTTTCCTTTCTCTTTGGAGTGTTACAAGCTCTTGCTGCACACCCTTTGCTTTGAAAGCCCTAAGCGGCCATGCATTATAATTTTTTCTGACTTGTTCTGTCGAATTACAAGCTGTTTTATTTTGGTCTGGAGGTAGCAAAATCCATTTCTAGCTCAGTACATACAGTACTTTCAACATCATGGATGAGTGGGTTCATTTTTGACGTTGATCAAGGACTCAGTAAAGCTAAAATAGCTCTTTGTCTGTTGGTTAAAATAAATGTACTTTTTGCAAACAAAAATAAAGAATTGCAAAAGAAAAGGAAGTATTGCGAGAAAAAAAAGTTTTGCAAACCAAAATAAAGAATTGCAAAATATAAATGAAACCGAGCAAAAGCAATGATTTTGCAACACATATTTTCCATGACCATATCTACTATGTATTTGCAACGTTGCTTTTATTTTGCATTTCAGCGATACCATTTTCCCCCCTTTGCGCTTCACGTTTCTGCGATGCATACTTCAATTTTCTTGCAAGTATAGGTGGCATTGATCTGACGCCTTAGATAAAAGAATAATGTATGTCCTCTTCGGGCTTCCGTACTTTCCTATAGGTAAAGGATAAGGATGTGTGGGAACTAGTGATGCGCGGATGAGATAAAACGTCACCCGAATCCGCAGCTTCAAATAAATTATCCACCCGCCAACCGCCCGCACCTGTATTTTTGTCTGATTTAGATAACCGCACCCGACCCGCACCCGATCATCACATTAGGGTTCGTACGGTCATGAAAAACCTGGAAAAGTCATTGAACAGCAATTTCCAGGTTTATGTAAAAATAAATAAACTCAAAAAGTTTTTGAAAAAATAATGAAAATATATTTCACAATTCTCTGTATAATAGAATTATGTTTAATCAGATCCTGAATTTCGTTGCGGGATTGCGCATACATCGCATTACTCATTCCCGCAGCTTTCGACTTTAAAATGAGGGAAATTACTGCAAAACCTTTATTCAATATAGCGGTTAGATGAGTAAATAAATCCACACAAACCATCAGATGAAAACAGCGTAAATGATTCAGCTGTACCGCGTCTTCTCTCTTTGACTTTCGCTTCACATCGACGCATCTAGAGCTGCTGCACGCTGCGATAGAAGACTTTAGCTCGCGTTTCGGGACAATTGACAAAATTGTCAATTGCCTAATCGGTCATTGTTGCATCGTCACAAAAATGTATTATTTTCACGTCTTTTTAAGCCATTCGGTACTCGCGCTCTCCAGAGGCGCGTGCGCTCACAGTCACATCCAAAGCGCGTACTGCCAGTACCAAATTGAGAAAGTAGGCTACTGTCGGTTTTGTCTTAAGTTAATGAGTATCAGTATTGGATCCGTGAAATAGGTCTTGTGACAGCAGCCTAATAAAGCTGTGCCGTCTTTTATTAATGTTAATCAAACAACAAAAGACAGAGAAAATCCCTCACTGCTCTTGACTAAATAATGTTTTGTTGAATAACTTTTAAAGTTAATTTACAGTTTATTCAATTTCTGTAGCCTATTTAAAGCACGTTCATAATTTAGAAAATGTAGTTAACACTTGCATCATTAATGATTTATTTTATCCACCCGCAAATAATCAGAATGCATTTTTTTATTACCCGACCCACCCGATCTGCGGGTTATCCGCAGCGCCCGCGGATATAACCGCCATCCGCGCATCACTAGTGGGAACCTTTGTTTGAGTCATTATTTTCTTCTTGATTTAAAATTGTAGTTTTAGAGTCTCTATATGGATACTTTGTGGGACATTTGGCTTTTATTTTTTATTTTATTATTCATTATTATTTTTTATGACTTTTCATTTTTTCACTCTCCTGCCACCTAGTGTATATAACGTTCACTGCACACACCCAGGTTAGTTAGTTAAATTCAGGGAGGCGGCCTCTTAACAGGTGTTTCCATCAGGTTTAGGCTTACGGTTTTCTAATTGCTGTGTCAAATGGATTTGCTTGAAAAGATCATTTCTTGGTTGTGGACGTGAATAAAAGCACTGGAATATACATTTCACTTTCGTACTTGGATATAAACAAACTGAAATGCGTCGCTATCGCTCTTAATTATGATGCTTGGCGTCCACCTGATTGGAATGAGAAGTCAATGCAATAAGTTGGAAAATCTTTGATGGAGCCCTTGGATGCTTTATTTCGTCTGCATGGATTGCATGGACGACGTGGCCAAGGAAGCTGGTGAGTACAACAATTATGGTGTAAAGCTTAACTGCGCATAGCAATCACATATTTTGAAGTGTGGGCCTACATTGCGATGTCTAGAGACATCTAGCCTGTATTTCTGAGTCACAAAAGCAGTAGGGATGAAGCGCACAGGTGAGAATGGTGGAAAACTCACCAGAGCAGGTTGTTACATGCATGCAGTCTTATACTGCATGCTGGTATTTGTCATCATATGCAGCGCAGCCTATATTCAGCATTATTTATTTGGTGAGTTAATGTATAATAAGCGAGATAATGCCTAATTTACACTGCAAAGGTGACATAGAAGCCCTTCTGAAGTGGCTTTTAGGTGTCTTTACACAGACTGTTTAATGCTGCTCAAAGGTGGCATAAATGCATTTACACAGTAATGATACTTTGATACTAGGGGCTGAGGTGGGTCAGACCTGGCATAATTTAGTCTGGCTTTGATGCAGCATTACGACTTAACACAAAATTTTGAGCAGGCATAGAGCAGCCTTAACTCAGCTGTGTAAGGTGCCTTAAGGCAGTCATTATTGCAAAATCAACTCCAAGTATCTTATATCAGATTCACAATAACTGTCGGATTACTTCAAATGAGTATGAGATTTGGTAGCTTTTGTAATAGTGTACTAATGTTGCTATGGCAACCTGGATAGTACTTACCAAGGGTGAGTTTTTTTTTTTGGCCAGCTATCCAGTACGTTGTGATTGGCCGAATACCTCAAGTGTGACGGAAATGTTACGCCCCTTACAATATTGTGATGCCCTGTCCGGCTGGAGCGACGAGACAAAAACATTAAAACCCATTATAAACGAGGCATTTGTTGCACCCAGTGGGAACAATATGATACACTGTATTTCTCTGCACACATATACAAACCCTCATGTTGTTCTGATATGTAATTTGGAGCCAGAAATGTCATCGGGAATCCGAGGCCTGCTAAAGTTGTGAAGATGGCAGTGCAGGTTATTTTGACTAATGGGTTAGAATTGGAGTTGATCTGCTGTTTTTTCTTTCTTTCATTGTTTAAAAAAAGAAAAAGAAAAAAAAATACTTAAAAAATTATTTACAGTAAAAACTGTGTGTTAACTTGCTAAAGCAGAAGTGGGCATTGAAAGTGCTGTAGTGTTCACAATTTTAGGGAAAAAAGATGAGAATCGTTCACTTATAGATGTCTTTACATGGAGGTAAAATTATACAGAATAGAGTGCAACATTTGGGTTCCTTAAGTAATCTTCTCCATAGGGGAATTTATTTTGAATGATAACTTATAAATTGTTTGACAAACCTACTATGAGCTATGGGGATGTTAATTGATGGAATATGCTTTTGTTGAAGCTGTTAGTCTGCATTATTTCAGCATTTTTAATGAAGTGAAAAAACAGTGAAATTCCTCAGGACATTATTACCCATCATTCTACAAAGAAATCCTACCAAAAGTTGTGCCAAAATTACTCTTTAGCGTCCACTCCCATAAAGCACTTTGTATGTCTTAATCAAGTCAGTATGTTTATCAGTTATTTTGTATTTGATTGTCATTCGTAATGCTTCATGTGTTTGTAGGTCTTTCCCTTGTTAATGGCGTTAAAGGGGTCATATGATGTTGCTAAAAAGAACATTATTTTATATTAAATTATCACATGATTTTATCACTTCACACATTTAATTCAACAAGTAGTGCAGTTATGATAAATCTTTAGCATTTTTTTTTTAAGTCCCAGTTTCTATAAAAACCTTCTTAGTCCAATTAAGAAAAATGTTAAAACCAGATTTATGTGTCCAGTTTCTGTAAAGTAGATTTGTGTCAATTTGTGTTTTCGGTATCTTCCACCAGGGGTTAGCTACCCAAGCCTTGACCCAAAACCATGGCTGATGTTACGTCTGAATCATTTGTCACATGAAAAATGGATATTAATCATATTGCATTGTGGGATACAGCACCCCAGTGTTGTTTGCTCAGTTGTATTCTGCACATTTTGACATGTAGATGATCAAAGTCATGTAGTCCATGCATATATTAAATGTGTATGCTAAGCACAGTACAGATGCTGTACACTGGAGAGAGGGAGTACAGCAAAATGCTACTATTCTGAATACAGCCTTAGACTAAACACTCAAGAAAACTGGTTTGTTTGCTTAGACTGCCATCTAGTGGTAAGATCCATCAACAACAAAAAAGCGGTGAAGTCCTGTTTTTTCATTTGCTATTTTTACACGATTAAGGGAATAATATCTGTTTGAGAATATATAACACTGTAGAGATCAGGGTATGTTGCAACACTTTAAAACCTTACATTTTGCTGCTGCTGCTTTTTGTAGCACCCTGTCTAGGACAGTTTTTTTTTTTTTCAATTCTTTTTAATAAAAATGTGAATTTGGATTTTAAAGTTTGCATTCAGTGATGCTCACAGAACTTGACATAGACTTTGATGTTGTAGTTTGTTTGTGTGGTGCAATGACCTCTGAGCTATTTCTCACAGGAAGTGCAAGAAGCGCATTAAAGGGTGACCTCATATGACTTGTGTATGGTGTAGAATATTATTGGAAACTTTTAGCAGGATGTTATAGTAGTGCTTTCCTTTATATTCAGGCAGATGTTTTCAATCATACAAATTAACTAAAATTTTTAAACGAAATATGAGATAAACATGAGAATGGAGAGTTTCTATATTTAATTTTAAGATATGAAACTAAGTTGATGAATCTAAATGTGTCTGTAACTCAGTATGACTTCCAGCTTTCCTGAGAGATGCACTGTGCAAATTATAGATTTATGGGATTATGTCTTTGCTGTACATTAGAGGATTGATTCGATTGCACAGTATCACATTTTCTCAATCTGCAGCTGACTGTCTTTAGAGTAATTCACACTCCGCTCTACAGCTGTTTTACTCCCAGCAGGAAACATAATAAATCACCCAATGAGAATTTAAATCTAAGACTAACCCTGCCCACTGGGTCTCTCTGTGGCTAGATTCTTTAAAGGGGCAGCGTCCTAACTTGTCCACGTATTTTGAGGGGTGTGTCTGTATTCACTGACGTCAGGGCATCCAGCCCCATATCTCAGCTGTCAGACTTTGGTCATGGACCATGAAAAACACTGATTTCATGGACACCACATACCAGCGGTGATAAGACGGTTTAGTTTGAAAAAGACTAAAGGATCCCACATCCTTGCCTCTGTCATGCTCTACTGAGTGCACAAGTCAAATCTGATGCATATTTGTCTGTCACAAAACCTGAATATAGTGAAGGATGACTTGGCGCATTTCAAAGATTTTCCCCAGACATACATTCCCATCCAAAAGAGGCTTATGACAGGCCTACACTCATACAAAAATGGATTTCCTCTTTGGGAAATGCAGAATATTGTCAACAAGAGGAAATAAATACGTATTTTGTTGCTGACTTAAATTACAAGCTTGGAGATCTCATAATGCTTTGCTTTAGATGATGTAAATGGGGTTAGATGTTAGTCACACTTTTTATTCTAGTGAATATATTTCTCAGGTTTATTTAAGTTTATTTTTAAGCCATGTTCTTGTACGTAGTTTTAGAATAATTTCACAGATGCTGAAAATACTTTTTGTGATCACTTTACACTAGTGGGGTAAGTTGTCACAGTGGAAAGCTGCCATTAAAAAGTTTGTTAAAAGCTTTGTGGCCACATTTACAGCAAAAAGCACAATGCTTTATATTAAACATTTTGTTTTTGCCAAAAGTAATTATAATTTATCATTTGTATAATATTACATCTTATAAATGTGACAACTTACTTGCCCCAACCTAACATTTCTGAAAAATATCTTTGTCCTGAGAACATGGTTCAGTCTTTGTTAAAAAGACCGTCAATAGAATTGTATCATCACCATATTTATTTACGTACTTGGAATGAAATTCATACTTTTATGCAGCAAGGATGCTTTAAATTGATCAAAAGCGAAAGTTTTACATTATTTGAAATTGTTCTTTTGATGTTATTTTGAGCTTCCTATTCATCAAAGAACACTGGTCCTAAAAAAAAAAAAATCAGTTTCCAAAAATATTTAGCAGCACGACTGTTTTCACCATTGATAAGAAATGTTTCTTGAGCAGCAAATCAGCATATTAGAATAATTTCTGAATGATAATGCAACTATGAAGACTGGAGTAATGATGCTGAAAATTCAGCTTTGCCATCACAAGAATAAATTAAAATATACTCCGATGGGTAACGGTTATTTGAAATAATATTTCACAGTATTTTTTTAAAACTGTATTTTGATAAGTGCTAGGGATGAGGGAAGGCAACCACTGCACTTTAATCTCAGTCCAAACAAAGATGAAGCATACATTCAGCATGAGCAGTTTTTTATTTAAATTAGATTGTATAATTTAAAAATTTGAAGCAAAAACCAAATGGTCTGACTTTAGCTTTGTGAAATTATGCTACATAAAACATATCTGCGTGAAACAGAAACGGCAGATGCGCTGCATGAGAACGCAGATTCACTGTCTGACAGCAGGTGGCGCTTATGGAACAGCAGCGATACAGCACTTCCCTGGTTACCGCTGTAAACAAAGCAGCGTTGCGCTTATAAACACTACCCCCAACTGTATCGCGATTCGTTGAACAAATCAACTAACTTGAATTGTCACATTTTTATCGATTTTCAACTGGCTCGGGGTGCATCGTTACATCCCTATTAAATGCAGCCTGGTAAGCGTAAAGTTAACATAAAAAATGTACTGACCCCCAAGGTTTTGAACAATAGTGTTACATATGATTTTCAATGTTTAAGTAATGTATTTAGAAATATAACATTTACCAAGTGGCATTTACAAACAAATGAGGCTATCCCTTTTTTAGTGAATATGAAATCGGTTCCCAACATATGAGTAAGCAAATACTTCTTCATACTCTGCTGTTAACAAACGTTTTTGTGTGAAATATTTATCCTGAAAAGTGTCTTGTTTAGAATAAATGCCACCAAGTTAGATATTTTTTTTCTTCTAATTCAAAGACATTCACAATTTTTTTTTTTTTTTTAGTGTGGCTGAAGTATCCATACTCTTTTTGAGGCCACTGTATGCACACACAGGAATTTTTCTAACTAGCCGACTGCGAGAGTAAAGAGGAGGAGGAGAAAGGGGTTAGTGTTTCAAGTCCTGCCCTCTGTTCTGTTTCTCCTCCTGCTCTCTGCTTGGAAAGAGGGGGAGGGAGACACAACTCAACAGTTACCACAGGAAACGGAAGAGACCAACAGACAGAAGTCATTTCAAAACCCTGGGGCCGTGCAGAAGATTCACTCTGTGTGCGTTTGCAGGGTTCTCCTCCTCCAAAACCGTTATCAGCCACTCCTTACCTCTCCTGCTGGCTCTTTCTTCTCCTCGTTTCTCTGTTTGTGGCAAACAGCCCCCACCCTGAACACCAGGAGAAGTCTTCTTCAACAAAAAGAGGAGATGCCCCCTCAGCCACAGGTGAAGAGAAGTTTCCCGGAATTCCTCAAGAGCTTTATCGGGGTTGTACGGGTCCTCCAGATCCTGCTGGGAGCCGGGCTTTGGGTCACCATCGCAGCCAACAAGTATGAAGGCTCCATTCACTATGTGCTGTTTGTGGCCGTGCTTTTCTGGCTCCTCACGTTAGCCATCTTCATCCTCACTCTTCTGGACAAGCAGGACCTCGTTCCCATCGTCGGAGGAGAACGCTGGTTGTTAAGCAACGCCATCCACGACGTTGCTGCCACACTGCTGTATCTGTCCACCATTGGGATCATGATCTACAAAACCCAAAAGAACTCCTACTGCAACCTGGACGTCTACAAACATCACTGCTTGTACAAGGTCTACCTCACTGCCTCCGTCTTCGCCTGCCTCACCGCCGGCGTCTATCTGCTCTCTGCCGTCTACTGCAGCTGCAGGAAATGTCGAGGTGAGCAGACGGTTGTATGAAAATCGACTGCATCCCTCACACCCTGCAACAGCGAGACCCTTTGTCAAGCTTTTTGGAGACTTATAAATATTTTTTTTTAATCAAAGCAGAGGGTTGGTCCTCTTGTCTCAGGCTTTCAGGTTTGTTTGTTGCTTTTTATACAGTAATTTATAGAGCTTTTGTACTGCAGTCACACTTAAGTCTATTTTACTCTTGTTTGTATGTTGCTGGAGCTCTCTATATAAGTATTTTATTTTTTGTATTGTGTAACTGACAACTCAAAGAGCAGTTTGTTGCTTGATGTTGCTTTTTTTTTTTTTTTTTAACCTTTTAATATGACATTGAGCGATTAAACAAGGCTCTGCTTCATGTCAGTGTGTTCATCAAACGTGTACGTGTGCGTGACTGTTTGACAATCCTACAATGAATGGCAACGCATCAAAGATCTTCACTTCTTCAGCTTTTAAAGAGGGAAAATATTTAATGCAGACAATCACATTTTAGAATTAAGTGTAATATGTGGCTATTAGTAAACTGTTATTAAGAAAGAAATAAAGTACATGCAACTTCATTTCTGTGTTTTATATGATGTTTAAATAAATGGTTTCCTAATTTGCTTTGGTAAACTTAGGAATAGAGGCTGTAATACACCAGCCAGACCAAAATATAATGTACTCTTGTGTTGGTCGTGGATCATTTGCGAAGAACAGAGATGTTGGGACAGCTGCCTATGACCGGTTTTTATGCAGTCATGAGTTTTAGGAGGAATACAGTGCAAGTCCAAACCACAAATTGTGTGTGAATGTGTTTCTACATTTCAGAATGTTATGTCATAACTCCTGAGAAATCATGAGCTGGGCACATTTCTGCTAAATACAGTTCTTCGCATAATTAAACGATACCGGTCAAAAGTTTGGAATAATTAAGATTTTTTTTAAAAAATGTTTTTGAAAGGTTTCATGTTCACCAATGCTCTATTTATTGGATGGAAAAATACAGTAAAAACTGTAATATGACAATTATTACATAATTATTACAATTTAACCATTTACAACTATATTCTTTTATATTATTTCATTTTTATTTTTCCATTACTCTAGTCTCCAGTGTCACATGATCCTTCAAAAATGATTCTAATATGTTGATTTGATGGTCAAGAAATATTAATAATTACAAAAACCAATCAATCTTTTTTTTAAATTTTTTTTTAAAAATAAAATAATTGTCCTTCCAAAAGCAATAATTACAGATTATTTAATAATTATGTAATCAGGTATCTAATTTACTTGCTTTTAAGTGACTCAAACAAAATTCTGTGCCTTTAAATGAACTTATACCTCTCTAACCCAAATTTTGGCAAGTCAAACGTAGTTCTGCTTCAAAAGTGTTCATTTTCAACCCAGTATCGGAAAATTGTATTGGAAATTGCATCATGTTATTTCTTATCACTCTAGCAACAGAGTAAAATGTGGTAGAGCGCGCCAAACAATATGAACTGTATATGTTGGAATGGGCCATTGGCGCATACCCACTATATGAAATATTAAGAATGCATGGACTCATTTGTACAACATTCGCTACAAGCACAGGCTGGTTATGAAGCTAAATAAATGAATGTATAATGACTCATATATGGCCAGATGTGAGGTCAACAAATGATCATTCAACAGGAATCATGCAATATGGTCGTCCAGCTTTCATTATTACGGACTGAGCACGATTTGTAAATGCAGGAAGTAGCAGGAATCCCCTCAGGAGCGTTGAGTGGGGTAGGCTACAGCCAAACATGTTGACAGAAACACACGGATGTCATTAACTGATAAACCATGTAACACATTACTGTATGTAGGCCAAGACTGTAACAAAAATGGCTTTGTGGTCATGACTCGAGTACAAACTGTCAAATAAACCTTTATAGAGACTAACTTAATTTCATTCTCTCATTCGCAAATCATCCAGGTGCCTCTTCCAGTGTTTTGAAGCTGTTGGCTTTGTTTCCTGTGATTAAATGAGTCATGTATAATCGCTCCGTGTGGGCCTTTTATTCGCAGGATAAGTCAGCAGAGCTTCAATGAGAGCAGGCCTGCACATGTGGACTGTTAACCACACGCTCTGCGCAGAGTGCTGAGACACAAATTCCTGTGTGACGCGCTTAACATGAGGAAAAAAAAAAGCAGGAAATGAAATGACAGGCTAAGTCTAAAAGGAAAGAAGTATTATGCAAAATCTCTGATCTGTGAGAAAATGACGGCAAGGAAATGTGATTAAGATTTTATTAGTAGATGTTTTACCAGTGCCTGATGCATTTTGAAGGGCTCGTAAAAAGCATGACTTTTCTTCGTTGTTTTTGACGTCACAGCTTAGGGCAGTTGCTAGAAAGGGGCCATTAGTGTTGTCATGATGTCATTTCCTCTGGCTCCGTATTTATTAGTTGCATTTGATTTATTGCTCAGAATTTCTGATCAGTGAGAATGTGTTTAAGGAACTAGTATGAGCTTATTTTTAGATCCACCCAGAAGAAAAGGTTTTGCTGAGTGCTTGCTCTCTCACAGCTCCCATAGTTCCCAGATATGTTCTATTTAAAGGGATAGTTCACCAAAAAATGGAAATTGTCATTTACTCACCATGTTTCAAACCCATATGTATTTCTTTCTTCTGTTAAACACAAAAGAAGATATTTTAAGAATGTTAGTAACCAAACAGTTTGCTGGTAGCTATTGACTTCCATAGAATGAAAAAAAAAATACTATGGAAGTCAATGGCTACCGTCAACCGTTTCGTTACCAAAATCTTTCAAAATATCATCTTTTGTGTTTGACAGAACTAGGGGTTGCACGACTACTGATTTCTGCTAGTCGATTTTCTTATTTTAAAAATACTCGAGTTACTCGACTACTCGTGGTTCATGCTACTGTAATATATATATATATAGAGAGAGAGAGAGAGAGAAAGCTTTAAATTACCACTTAACGAAATAAAACAAATAGAAAACAAACTCTTTCATTATAATCATAATTTGTAAAGATGCACTTCACTCTAAAGGCGTGTCTAATGAAGAAATGGCGAGTCAGGATCGTCATCTTCGTCTTTGAGACACGGACTCAGAAAACACTAGCAGGACACTAAACAGGGGTGCGTTTCCCAAAAGCATCGTTAGCTAACTATGGTAGTTAGTTCCATTGAAATCTGTTGGTAACGACGGTACTTGCGACCAGAGTTGCTTTTGGGAAACGCACCCCAGAGCCGCTCTTGACAGCACGGTCTCGTGTTGTTTCCACCAGTGCGGCAATTTTTTTTATCACTAATTGATGGATGCCTAAAATTAAAAAATGAAGAGAAGCCTAAAACAGGCCCGAGGCCCGGCCCACGTCTGAACTATGATGTGAAAATTGGCCCGAAGCCCGGCCCGAGGGGCGTAAAAACTTAGTCAGAAAACGTAAAGAAAACGACATGCAGCAAGATAATATAATTTCACTTACCTGGCCTATCACTTGAAGCAAACATCCATCCCTTCTTAAAAGTCTGTGTTAAAAGAGAGCTGTTGTTCCATCTATTTAATCAGACTGCTGTAGCCAATCTCTATCTTACGCTGT